TAAGGCTATGTTTGATAGCCAAAGAATTCCATGGAAGTAGGAAAACGTTTTCCATTTTCCCCAAATTGTGGTGTTTGATAGTATAAATTTTCCTAGGAAAATATTTTCCACCTTTTTCTAGGTACAATCATTTGATGCACAAAAACTTGATTTTGTTTTCCCACCTATTTGGTGGGAAAACATTTTCCACCTTTTTTTTTTTTTGTTGTTTGCAATGGGAACAAATTCTACATACAATGGTTAAAAAAAATTTCACTTTTATTAACAACTTCCATGCAAAACTAAGTCAAACGAAGAATATTCGGTATGATAAATTTTTTTTTTTCAAATTTTTTTTTTTTTTTACAATTGGAACAAATTTTAGACCCAATGGTAATAAAAATTATCACTTTAATAGACAGATTCCATAAAAAAACGAAGCCAAATGTACACCAAATTTTCAACATTTTCCATGGAAAATTATACCAATCAAACACAATTAATTACAATTCCAAGTAAAATATTTTCTAGGAAAATCAATTCCCTGTAAAACATTTTCTTTACACCCATTTCCCACCCTTACAATCAAACGGACCCTAAGTTATTTTTTATGACATAACTGTAACTGAACAACCATAAAAGAACAGTCTGTTTTGTGCAGGTGGTCTCTGATAGCACATAAACTGCCTGGACGAACAGATAATGAAATTAAAAACTATTGGCATTCTTATCTAAAGAAAAAGGTGGCAAAAATGGGTGAAACTGAAGGCCAAGGTAAAGCTGAATGCATGAATTTACACTCCGAATCTTCTTCCATGAAGTCGAGTTTGGAATCATTTGAACATATTGAAGGACCATTGCTGGATTCTTGTGCACAGACAAGCAATTTACCAAGAATTCTATTTGCCGAGTGGCTCCCATTTGATCAGTTTGTCGGCTGGGATTCAGATAGCCTTCCTCCAGATACTTATAGAAATGCTTTAGAGAACAGTGGGTCAAATTCTCAAGATGTTTTCTCGCATGATGATTTGCTGCTCAATGAAGGGACGTATGCTGGTGAAATGCAGCCAAATTTAAGCAGTTATATTGGTGATATGTTTCAAGAACAGTTCAAGTTTGAGCAGCAGAAAGCAGAAAGTGGATTTGCTGAACTTTTTACTGGTGAATTCAACATAAACTATGATGTTATGTATATATAAATCTCACTTTTTTTCCTGGTCCGTGAATCTGTGATGTATGAGTTAAATAAATAAATGTCCAGTATCTAATATATTGAGCTTTTAGACAAGCTGATCAACATAGTAATGTACTTGGTTGGAATTCTTGGTGCCTAACATTTATAAAAAGTGTGCCCAGCAGCAGGCCTCCCTTCTGCAATGGAAATACAATGGATTAATAATGGAAATACATGGTTCCAATCAGAGATGATAATGCATAAAGCGTGCCTCGTTCCTTTTTTTGTTTGCAATTGTATGAACATACAAATGTTGAAATGATTTTGAAAATCGAAACAACTCTCTTACTTTAGCCATGGTCCCTCAATAGTTCTCATAGAACCCAAATGAAAATATACACAGGGGCGGACCTGGGGGTGGCCTGGGGGCAGGTGCCCCCCCACCCAAATATATAATATGAAAGGAAAATGAATCAACATTCATTTCAAACCAATGTTTTCTCTCGCCTGAGTCTCCCTTCTCATTTTCTCTCCTCTTCTTCATGGTAAAATTAAGGTTGTATATTGTTAAATGGATACGAGAATGGTTGTGATAATACTGAATGACTGAACAAGAATAGTTCAAAACTTCAAATCTCATTTATCTTTGTTTAAATGATTTATAGTTACTCTCAAAGAGTGGAAATTGCATTGCCAAATGAAAACAGTGAAAAGTTTATCTCCACTCTATAGTTATTTCAAGTTCAATCGTGACAAAGAATTCTAAGATCTGACTCAAGGAAAAAGCTAGTAAGCAAGGCTTCAGTGAGCTATAGTGCTGAAACAAGTATTAAACGAAGTAATCAATGTAAAATGATCGTATACTTGGATTAGATCAATGAATAGGAATAGAAGAATTCTTAATTGAATTTAGTTACGTTCTTGTAATGCATGAGATTCACGAGTGAAATTCTCAGTTGAAGTGACATTTTTAAGAAAATTTCGATAGCCTTTTAGCCTAGGTGAATCTGGTCCGACTGAATGTAATCAGAAGAAAGAGTTATGCAATATGATTGAACTTGAATGAGTAATGATTGGTTCTCGGGTATTTGATGGATCGAAAATAAGTCTGACTCTTACCATTTTGGATTCTATCAAAATTTGTGTAGCTCTTGATGACCAAGATTGTATGCTCAATTTTTTTGTTAATTTGAATTACGAAATTACATTAAATTTTTCTCTATTTCTCACTTTAATTATGGAACGTTATCACGTAGAGAACAATTGTAATAAAATATCACTTACTTTAATTTTTTTCGTCACTTTTTGAAAGTTTGATTGTGCTCCCCCAACATAAAAAATCTGCATCCGCTCCTGGATATACGTGCATACCTAGATAACCTTGCAAGGTCTCAAGGTAAGCCTCGTGTTTTTCGTACACAAAATATTTTTTATTTTAATTTTTTTTCATGAATCTATTTCTTTACTGCATAAATACTTATTATTTTTTATGTCTATTAATGTAATTATTATTTTTTCCTTTATAAATAATGTAGAGTAAACATAATGATAACGGAAATATCCTATATATCTAAGGGACCAAATCGCAACCATCCATAAAAGATAGAGAGCATGTGTCTTTCATTTCCGAGTGATTTTAGTAGCGATTTTTATGAGCGGATTAGAGTGATTTTAGTAGCGATTTTTAAAACTATCCAACCTTTGCTTCAGACTTTAGTACTTATTGGTTCTGAAAGTTTTTTAAAATAATAAAATTATGCATATGTCTCTTATTAAAAATTTCTTTTACATTAAATTTTTTCCTCATAAGTGATATTTTATTTATAGATTTTTTTTTTACATATAAGTTAATATTTAATTTAAAAAATTAAATAAATTTAAATATTTACTTAAAATTTTAAGTTCATATTTTTTACTTATAAGTAAATTATACAATTATAAGTTAATTTTATACTTTTAAATAACTTTAAGTGAATTTTTATCTTATTAGTAGTATTTTTATTTTATAATAATTTTTTTACATAAAAGTGATTTTTTACTTATAAGTATTTTTTAATTATAATGTAATTTTTCTTATCTTACAATTAATATTTTACTTATAAGTATTTTTTAATTATAACATAGTTTTTTAAATGATAAATAATTTTTAGTTAATATATTTTTATTTACAATTTAGTTTTGAATACAATAGGTTGGTTAGAAATAATTATTTTACAAAGGGTAAATTTAGAAGAGAACATGAAAAACAGCCAAAATTCGTTGATTTGGTGGGTTGAGAGAATTGCTCAAAATTATACTACACCAGTTTTAACCACCCAAAACTAGTGTCCAAAAAAAACTAGTAAGTGTCGATTTTTTCAACCTCTCATAAATGGTACCATTCAAAATCTGTGAAAAAAAAAGACTCCCAAGCAGTCCCTTAGTTATCTCTCATCCAAAGAAAAGAAAATCCAACCATCTTTAATAATTCGATCAGCATTGTTGATAATATTCAGAAAATTCTCCAAAATTCTCTAATTTCAAATTCTACCTATTAAGGTAATGCACTATTCATTAATTTAGGAAACATTACTGATTGTCTTCATCCAATTAATTAATCTCGTATTTTTGGTTTTATTTTTTTCGAAAAGAAGCAAAATCTCGATCCAAAAGAAAAAAAAAATAGATTTTTATTTTCATCTTGACTCATCATGTTGCCTGTGATTTCCTCTTAGCTTCGAATATGACCTCGCAAAATTGGAGAAATTTCACTCAACCACCAACCGGCAACCATATGGAGTGACACTGCCACTGCCAACATGATGTGTAACTTTGGCTTTAGATTGAGAAATCATGAGTAATTTTCCTTGTCAACAACATATGATATGCTATACTTTGTTACGTTGATTTAGAACTTTATTGGCTTGTTAATGTAGGTTGTTGATGAAGTATATGACATTGTGATTCGTGATGGTTAATTGTTAATAATATATTGAGTATATTGTTTATAACAACGTGAATTTTTTATTGATGGTTGTTGGCAAAGGTTATATATATTTTTTGGTCAATGAATTAACGTGTGTTAATTTGTAATTGAGAGTTAATTCGGGATCAACTTTGCATACTGGAAGGGCCGACAAAGGTAGCTTTTGTTATATTGTTATTACCAAGTAAATCTGAAAGAAAAACATTATATTCCTTCCGTCCCATTTATATAGCGTTAACACATAGATGGACATCTTGATTTTATATCGACAAACTGATTGTCTTTTTGATCAATCAATCAACTTGCCTATTTTGGTACTCAAAATCGTCGTTTTCAATTCTCTTAGTTAAAAAAAAAAAATTCGGGGACAGAACCCCCAGGAGGGGGGCCCACCCACCTTATTTTTACCACCGCAAGATTGAAATCCTAGCTACATCCCTATCTACGGCTGCATGTGTATAACGTTATTCAAAGGATCATACAAAATAATGTTTACATTGAACCATCATGTTTTGATTCAGTTTGAAACTTTAGTGATTGGTCTTTAGTTTGTAATTGTTGATACATCTTTTGATACTCGTTGCTTGGGGATGTCGGAAGTAGTCGTACTCGTCTTATGATAAATATATATATTCACATTAAGTAATAAAAAAAAAAAAAAAACTGTTTGTCAAGTGTTAACATAAAGGATTTATCTAGATGTACAAAATCTTGTATAAAATGGATTACAAAATCGCCAAGTGGCGCCCAGGCGCCCCTCCAATAGTGGGGCGCCACTTGGCATTTTGTAATCCATTTTGTAATCCATTTTGTACCTGTAGCATGCTCCTAACATAAAACCTTGAACACTAAATTTGAAAATGTGAGCTTCAAGTCCAAAAAGCAAGTAATAAAGGAATTAATGGACAACCACATGACGTGGAAATGCTCTGTGCAGGCACATTACATCTTATGAAAGTGGGTGGTCAGATTAGATAGAGAATAATAATATTAAAAACCTTTGTACGCGTACATTCGTTAAATTAAAAATACTTCATTAATTTACAATAGTCAATAGGTATAGTATTTGTCATTTTTATTAAATGATTATAACAACTCGTATTTTTAATATCATCATCACCATACGTCAGAGTCCAGTTACCAAATGGAATTCGATTATTGAAAATCGCATAATCCTATTACTCATTTTGAAAACACATTTTTTTTTTCATGATTAGGCCGTTTTACCTCACTAATATCGTCAGTATCCAAGTAGGACAAAAAGAACGAATCTATAAAATCAAACCCCTATTGTTTCGTAAGCTAGAATACATGTATGTTGGTAATAACAATATTGCCGATTGACGGTATACTTGTTTTCCCTTCCCACCAAATCATATGTCTTGGTATTATAAAGTTCCAAACCTGCATTGAAACAACATGTTAAAACAAAAATATAATTGTTTTAGATGAGAGTTTACATGAAAGAATTATAAAAATGTAAGCCACAATCCTCGCATAAAACCGCATGAAAATGTAAATTGGATTCAAATAAACAGTTAAAATAAATAATAATAATAATAATAATAATAATAATAATAATAATAATAAT